CTTTCCATTGTCTATTGACTTTTAATTTCATTGGAGCTCCCTCAAATCCCCGCCCACACCCCTCCGTGTCCCCAGCCACCAGTCCCTGCCTGACTGCCTGCCAACAAACAAACAAAATAAAAAAAACTCAACCTAATACACTGGGCCACAGACATTGAAAAGAACTCAGGGGTGGCTGTATCATGACACAAAGAGAATATTAAGGGGGAGGGGGAAATGAAACAGATCATCTCAGAGGCCTGGTCAATTTTTCTTTTTTTCTGGATTTCTCTGTAGCTTTGGAGGCTATCGTGGATCTAGAGCAGACTGCCCCTGCCTTCCAAGTGATGGTATTAAAGGTGTGAGCCACAACCGCCCAGCACACAAATGCTTGTGGTTTGTTGCTTTGTGAATGTTTTCAGACAGGGTTTCCGTGTGTAACAGTTCTGGCTGTGCTGGAACTCACTTTGAGGACCAGGCTGACCTCCAACTCACAGACAGAGATCCACCTGCCTCTGGTCTAATTTTAAAAGGAGAGATCAATTTTGGGTTCAGCGGGTGTGTGGGATCAGTGGGAATACGTGTTATTAAACTGGTGCTGCCATCCTGTTTTATCCTCCTGGAGTTTGCACATGGTTGCTTCCACCTTGGTGAACCAGCCACACCTTCCTTATCCAGAAGAATTTGAACACACACAGTGGTAGAAAGAAACACATGAACAGAATTTTAAATTAAACTGAATTTATAAGATAAGGAAACCAGTTACACACACACACACACACACACACACCGCAGAAGACTTGGGCGAGGGAGCTGCTGGGAGCCTGTGAGATGGTACACTGGTGTTCTAGGGGAGGGCTCCTGAGTCCAATCCACTATGATGGTGCCTTTGGTACATCATCAAGGATGAGAGCACAATGAACACACATGCCTGTCACCACCCAAGCACACATGTCTGCTTGCCTGCCTGCCTGCCTGCCTGCCTGCCTGCCTGCCTGCCTGCCTGCCTGCCTGCCTGCCCACCTACCCGCCTGCCCACCCATCCGTCTGGCTGTGAAGGAACCCTGCAAGAGAGTGCCCGATGCCTTAGGAAGTCAGAAGAAAGGGGTGGGTCTGCTGAATTTAGAGTCACGGAATGGCTGCCAGCTGCTTGTTGGCTACCATGTGGATGGTGGAACATGAACCCACAAAAACGAGAGACACGGCAGACAGGAGGGCCTGGAAATACACTATATTCCATGTTATGTCTGAGGTGCCTCCTACTTACCTGAAACCAAAACAAATCCTTCCAAACATCAAGCTGTCTGTCTGTCCCCTCCCTCCCTCCCTCCCTCCCTCCCTCCCTCCCTCCCTCCCTCCCGACAGAATTGGAAAGGGAGACCTCCTGAATAAATTGGGAGTACGGGGGGGGGGGCAGGATAGTTGAGGGAAAAGTGGAGGATGGGGGGAAGAGAACATGCACAGGATCAGGAAGGATGAAGTGGGGCATGAACAGAGAAGGAGACCAAGGATACCTTAATAGAGGGAGCCATTGTGGGTTTAAGGAAAAATCTGGCATTAGGGAATTCCCCAGGGATCCACAAGTAAGATGAACCCCAACAAGCAAAACAAAACAAAACAAACAAACAACAAACAAACAAACAAACAAACAAAACCACCTAGCAGCAGCTTTTAGGTGTTGCAGAATCCTCAGGGACAGACACTCACTTAGACAAAACTTTAAAAATTTTAAATTTAAAAAATTTAAATGTGGCCTGGAGAAAAGGGACCTGTTCATCTGCTGCTGAACTGCATGTCATGTGCCACTCTAGTGCTACTGACCATAGAACTTTCATCACCAAGGCATGTTAGATTTCTGCTTTTTTGATATTTCAGCTTTGATGATGTTATGAAATGTCATCTGGTTGGTTTGTGTTTGATTTTTTTACTTTTAATTTTTTAATTTTATTTGAGCTCTTAGATATTTTTAAGGAGGGCAATGAGTGTTGTAATAAATTTCCTCATAGGAATGATTTCACTGTGTGCCAGGGTTTGTGTAGTGATTTAATTTTCTTGAGGGAATCTCTCTCTCTCTCTCTCTCTCTCTCTCTCTCTCTCTCTCTCTCTCTCTCTCTCTCTGTCTCTGTCTGTCTGTCTGTCTCTCTCTCTCTCTGTCTCTCTCTGTCTCTCTCTGTCCTCTCTCTGTCTCACTCACACACACACACACACACACACACACACACACACACACATTCATTAATTCTAGTTTTGTTTTCTCTCATTCCTCACACACTGATGAATGAGTTATTGTACCTCCACTACCATGGGCTCTGGTGTACCCACATACCCTCTAAATTCTGTCATTTCATTCAGGGCAGGTCCTAGGCCCGTCCCCTTGTGTCCAGCCTGAGGCAGCATCGCTCTATTTGGAACAGGCTCCCAAAGCTCATTCATAAACCATGGTAAAGACTGATCTACTACCCAAGGCCCCAGTGGTTTCTGTGGCCTCCTCCCTGAAACTGCATCCATGGAGTCTGGATCCGTCCCCTGTTGGTCTCTCATCCATCAGTCTGGGATTCAAGAGCTGTCTTTGTGGGTTTCATCATCATGGTCTTGACCGCTTTACTCACCGCTCCTCCATCTCTGTCACTAGGTTCCAGGAGTTCAGTTCAGTGTTTAGCTGTGGGTATCTGTCTCTCTGTCTCTGTTTCTGGATGAAGGTTCTAGGATGGCATATAAGGTAGTCATCGACCTTATCATCAGGGAAGGGCTATTAATGTAGTCTATTATGGTATCTGTCGTCCTGCTCTCTTCTATTCTTAGCCTCGACTGTACCTGCCAGATAGGTCCACCATAACTTCTTCTCCCCCTCTCTTTTTTTCTGGATCACTCTCCCTTCCCCCGATGTTCCCAATCTGCTCAGGAGATCTCACCTCATTCCACTTCTCTGGGGTATAATGCATAGCTCTTGGAAACCTCCCTGTTTCGCAGACTCAAAGGCACTGGGGTTGTATGCTGACACTCCCCTGATCCATATCTCAAATCCATATATGAGTGAGTACATACCATGTTTGTCTTTTTTGATACTGGGTTTCCTCACTCGGGATGGTTTCTTCTAGTGCCATCCATTGTGTAAATGTACCACATTTTCTCTATCCACTCTTCAGTTGTGGGGCATCTAGGTTGCTTTAGGATCTGAGCTCTTAGAAATTTTTTTTAAGGCAGGGTTTCTCTGTAGTTTTGGAGGCTGTCCCAGAAATAACTCTTCTTAGATACACCTGCCTCCGCCCCCCGAGTGCTGGAAGTAAAGGTGTGCACCACCAAGAATCTCTTAGATTATTTTTAAAGGTGGGCACTAGAGGTGCAAATTTCCTCATATGACTGATTTTACTGTGTGCCAGGAGTAGTAGTTGCAGAGTGCTTTCTATTCACTCTGTCTCTCTGTCTCTCTGTCTCTCTGTCTCTCTCTCTGTCTCTCTCTCTCTCTGTCTCTCTGTCTCTCTGTCTCTCTGTCTCTCTGTCTCTCTGTCTCTGTCTCTCTCTCTCTCTCTCTCTCTCTCTCTCTCTCTCTCTCTCTCTCTCTCTCTCTCTCATTTGGCCTGGCACACGGAAAGTATTCCTGGACAGTAAGACTTTTCTACACATTGAGAAACACTGTGTCAAATAAAATATAAAAGTGACCTGGCCTGAAGCCCAGGCAGGCAGGCAGGCAGGCAGGCAGAGCTTACTCCTTCCCTCATAATTCAGATTCCCAGCACTGTTTTTGTTTATTTGTTTGGTTGCAAGTAGATTATAGTGTGTTTATGACTTTGTATTTAATTATATAGTTTTTCTTGTTGTTTTGTGTTTTGGTTTTGGTTTTCGGAGAGAGAGACAGGGTCTACTTGTATCATCCTGGCTGTCCTGTTACATAAACCAGGATGGTCTCTAACTCTGAGAGACCAGCAGGCCTCTGCCTCCCAAGTGTTGGGATGAAAAGCACCCACCTCTCAGAAAATTTAAACTTCTCTCTCTCTCTCTCTCTCTCTCTCTCTCTCTCTCTCTCTCTCTTCCTTCCTTCCTTCCTTCCTTCCTTCCTTCCTTCCTTCCTTCCTTTCTTCTACCTTGTATGTTTGTTTGTTTGTTTGGTTAGCCCTGCTAGTTCCTGGCATTACAGTTGATGATGTTTGTTATCATCCTTCAGTGCTGGTTGAACTGTGGACAGACAGATGGAGGGATGGGACTTGCACACAGACACAGACATAGACACACACACACACACACACAGACACATCATGCACACATGCACAGCTACGGGGAGCACTGTAATGTGTGCAAGGTGCTGTCAGTCAGTATGGAAATGAGTGACTAGTTGATACCTTTTAAGACTGTACCGTTGTGACTGGGATTCGATTGTCAAAGAGAGGCTTGGGAGCTGGGGTGTGGTTTTGAGATTGGGCGTTGAGGAATGTATCTCGGACCTTGAGGCTCCAGTCATATGTTAATGGAAGCTCCACAGGTGACCTTGAGTGTCCTGTAGCTCACTTGGTTTTGAGTATCTTGTTCTGGTATAAGTACAGGGACAAATGTCCCAAAAGTGAGTGCCTTCTTGTAGTCTTATAAAGAGACCTCTGGCTTCTCTCTTTATTAACACAAATCAGAACTATAAAAATGTTTATCTGAAGCCATAATTTTCAGCAGGGAGGGCGGTGGTGGTACACGCCTTTAATCCCAGCAGTCGGGAGGCAGAGGCAGGCGGATCTCTGTGAGTTCCAGACCCAGCCTCCTGGTCTACAAGATCTAGTACCAGGACAGCCTCCAAAGCCACAGAGAGACACTGTCTCAAAAAACAAAACAAAACAAAACAAAACAAAACAAAACAAAACCAAAAAAAGCAAATAAACATACATACAAAAAAAGCAAAAAGTAACAAAACAAAACACCTTTTCATATTGAGTGCATAATTGAATGAATTTGAGGCCCCCTTGCAAATCACAACTTGCATTATGGCAGTTGGAAGAAAGGCTTTAAAGGAAAACTAACACATAGATTTGGCAAAAGCA